AATATTGAAATTCTCTACAGCGTCTGACTGCTCTCGTATGACTTCAAACAAGGGTAATTCTTTTCAGATGCAGCAGGGCAGATGCCATTTATGTTTAGAATGCACTTTACAATTTAGATGAAAAATTGTAAAATACTTTGTTGAGTAATATAGCTCTCATTAGCACTGAGCTGATAGAACACATTGAAACTTGAAAACACGCTTAAAGCTATGTTAATAGTGTTTATGGGTTGAATGGATAGAGTATTAGAAGCGAGGAATTACTTTTCCACTCCTGCATAGTAATTCTTTTAATATTACAATTTAAAATGTAAAGTTAGTAGCAGACATTCAAAATATAAAGTTAATGACAGACATGAGATCTCAGTCAAAATATCTACCTGATCTACCTTTTATTTAACAGTCCTGGTATAATTTCTTTTATATCAGCCAGGGAGTGCCTGCAGATGTCAAAGGGGTCAAAATAGGCACACAACTGATCCCCAATTCCACTGTAATCAGTAAGAGTGAACAAAGATCATCTCATCTCTATGGGTACCTTAAACATTACAGATACTTCCTGTTATGGGGTGACAACTGTCCCTAAATTTTCATCATGTGTTTTCACCCTGTCACATGCTCTTCTAATGGACACTGGCTGTGTAGACACACATTGAATGACCATGGTCCACCATTGTCACTACTATCATCGGTAAGCTGGTTTAGAGCAATGATGTGCTACTTGAGAATAGGGTATGATCTGTAAGGTATCCAGTTGAAAAATCTCTGGGTAAAATGAAAAGCCCTTTCAAGGTCACAGCTGTTGCAGTTCCCAGGGTATCTCTAAATGGATGAAGCATGTTTTTTGATGGATTTAGCCATTATTCCATTGATCTGTAACTAATACTTATTAAAGGTACACTCCAGGTAAAATTGAATACTAAACTGTATGATGCATACAAGGATAAGCCTTCGGTCACACCAAATCTGACTTTGAAATCGTGCAACTTCACTTGTATTCGCATGATTTTAAAGTTGGATGTCAGTCTGACTTCAGGTGTGACTTGAAAGACATCTGTCTGACTTCATGCACAGGTCTCTATGCAAGTCATGCCTGAACTTGCAAAAAGTAGTGCATGAACTTCTTTCAAAATTGGGGTCGACTCCAATGGAGTCAGAATCGCACTGATATGACCGCTTTCATTTCGAACAATAAAGTGCGACTTGTCATGCGATTTGATACTATCAAATCGCATGGCAAGTCACACTGGTGTGACTGGGAACTAAGAGCCTACCTGCTCAGTTCTTGAGTACTACACCCAGGCATTCCTGTATAGTACAAACCTATTGCTCCTGATGGCTTGTAGTTCTCAATGAACTACTAGGGAGCTGTAAAGCACTCTCATAGTTCATCGATCTTCGTGCTCTCAATTTACTGCCTGCCTGTATGAAGTACAGGCAGACAGCTATCCTGATAGTATGCAGGAGCCTTAGATTGCAGATCTGCTGATCGCGGGTGCAATGCTCTGCAGGCTCCTTAGAAAAAAAAATAAATGCACATTTTTTTACCAGCAAAAAAAGTGATTTTTTTTTCAAAAGGTGAACTTATCCTTTAAAAGGCAACAGTAAAACTGCAAATTCCCTAGCATGCATGAGGGATGCACTTAACCTGCCCAGAAGTGGCACATCTGTACAATGCATACAACTTACTGCAGCAAAACTGACATTTACAAAGAGAAATGCTATTCAAATTACCGACAAATGACAGCTACAGCCAGTTTACTTCTCTTTGTAAACAAATGGTTGAGGATTCTCTTCATCTATACCAGATCCTTATCCTAGATGGGTCTGGTATAGAGGTTATTGTTGGAACCCCTTGCAGAAAAAAAGAGGCATTGGGGTCCCCCTAAAACACACACCAGACCCTTGTCCTTGATAAGGGTCTGACGTGGATGTCATGCAAAAAAATGGCATGTGGTCCCACTAAAAAATTTTGGGATTTAAAGGGGAACCCAGTGCAACACAGCAAGAAAATAGTGGGGTTCCCACAAAATCCATACTAGACTCCTATCTGAGCATGCAGCTTGGCTGGCTAGGAAGGGACAAGCATGACCCCCCCAAACCATCCTTTACCCCTTAACATGGTGGGGTACCTTGTCAGGAGGTACTTCCGTAGCAAAGTTTATGTAGATGAGTAAGGGGTAAAAGTGAATAAGCATGTTACATGTCTTTGGAAGTCCTTTATTGTAAATCCATCATCAATCATATTGTTCAGTGATGCAGATCCACATCAATAATAATGAATTATGCCTGCCAACCCTCTGAAAGAAAAAAATCCCACAGATCACCTACAAGATCCACGCCTGTAATCCCTGCTACTAACAGTAAACAAAGGGGCAGGGTTTTCTGGATGACTTCATTGACCAAATATGAATATGGCCATGTGGCTACATTTGGTCAGTGATGTCTGCACCAGGGGCGGACTGACCATTTGGAAACTCGGGCACTGCCTGAGGGCCTGAGGTCAGTAGGGGGCCCCATGAGATGCCCCTGTTACCTTTTTCATAGGCTTTTTTGAGTTTGGGCAAGGACACAGGGGCCCCATGATCCCCTATTGCCGGGGGCCCCATGAGTTGTCATTCCGCCCCTGGTCTGCACTATCCCTGCCCCTTTGTTTATATGGCCAATGAGTCCCAATTGGCAAATGAATAGGGCTGGGTAACATCACTGGTTGCCAAAGATATGGAGGATGCTGGCACCTGGCGCTTCCTTAACGATTGACAGAAAGCTGTCGGAAGAAGAAACATTACTATATATGATGTTCGTCTCCTGACGAACAAGCAAAGAGTCCAGATTTCCGAAAAATGCCCAAACAGGCAAAGTTCAGTCTGAACCTGTGTTAAAGTAAAATGTATGATACCATAAAAAGAACATATCTTATTTGCTCCCCCCTGGTCTGTTTGGAAATGTGTTGTTATAGCTGCTTGATAAGTGCAAAAAAAAACTGTTGGTCTTGTCAGAAATTAAGAATTATCCTGTATCCTCAGCCCACTTTCTGTGTTATCAACAACCCTACTAGTTCTTATCCTGGACTACAAAATTATCAGCCTTTAGAGTTCTAAGAGTGGGAGTGGTTGAGTAGTTTAGCAAAAGAAACTGGGCAGAGCTGACACCACTCAGTCCACAACAGGAATTACATCACAAGACACAGAAAATGTGCACATATTGCAAAGATGTATTGCATATGTTTTTTCTAATTTTGCTTTGACATACATTTGAGGTATATTGAGTGAACTATCTGACTTTAGCACATCTCCAGTGTTAGCTTGATAGCATTAGAAGATTTTTTATCATTTTCTTGTTGCATGAAATTGCTCTTTAAAGGAGAAGTTTACCTTTTTAGAAAAAACTGTTATACGTGTGCTGTTTGTGGCCCGAAGGCAAATTGCCCTTAATTGGACTTCCCTGCACCCTCCGACCTTATCTGATTGGATATTTGATCTCAATAAGTCTATCTCTTATGAGAGACATACTTTTTTTCTTAGAAATTCATTAAAGAAATTTGACTCAATTTGGACATGTTGGTTAGTCCACATGCGTCAGATATTGAGTTAGGATGCAGGCCCCTTTAGATATAGCAGCACTGTCTAGTCTATTAAAAATGGGACACATATACAATATGGGATCCTTGCTGGCCACCATATTGCTTCTTATTCATTCTTTTTTTTTTTTTTGCCTGGACTATTGATTTGGGTATTTTCTAGGTTGTTTTTTCTTCATTTTCTTCTTTTTTGTGCATGTATTTTGTTTCTATTTTTGATCTGCTGTGTATTTTTTTTTGTTTGAGATATATGTATTTAGTGTACTTGTTTAAGTGTTTAAAAAAAATGTCAAATGTTTTCAAAATAAAATCTGAATTACAAAAAAACCAAAAACATATTTTTGTAGAAAAAAAAGTACAATTATTGTTTTTTCCTGCATGAGCCTTTTAAGCACTGCACCCAAGATCAGTGAATCAGGGGTACAATTCCGGGCTTCTGCAGACAAGCTCTGAAGCTTTCAGCCCATACCTCCATAAGGACTGTTGGTTTGAAAGCTCCAGGGCTTGTGAACGAACTATGAGAGTGCTCATCAGTGCCTTTGAAGTTCATTCAGAACTACAAGGTGTCAGCTGCAGTGGCTGATGGTACTTACAGTTAATTCATTCACAGGAGACTGTAAATGAAAGATGCAGCCATGTGGGCCATATTGTTTCTGAATTGTGACAGCGGGTGAGGGGAAAAGATCCTCCATCCAATATCACACTGAAGAGGGGATCAGGAGACAAGGTGGCAGATGCTGGAACAGGTTACATGTTCCACCCTAAATGTTCCAAAAGGTGGACTTGTCCTTGAACCAGGTCTCACCCTAATATTACCATGTCAATGACAGCAACAAATCACAGATGATTAGATGTAAACCCTAAATGGATGAAATTTAGTATGCTATGTGCACTCTTTGTATTTTAAACAATTGGCATGTCGTTTTCTTTAAGAAAAGTCTGTTTTCACGTGTTTCATCCCTTGTTGCATCTCATGGCTGTTGAGCTCCCACAGCCTCCATCAGCCATCTCTGGTCTACATTAATTCAATCTCTTCTTAGGTGCACATTATTGCTCTGGAATGGCTTCTTGCCAGTGAAAACTGTGGACCTTGCCCGTGCAATGTGTGCCAGCATGGCTACTTGCAGTCCCGATCAGGGGTACATGAAGCAGGTTAATTTTCCTCCTGAAAATTGGGAAACAGTTGTCACCCCAGAACAGGATATGCCTAAGGACCTTCATGGCAGACTCAACAGGTATTACAATAGTTTAATGAAATCTGACAATTTAAAAAGACTCAAAACAGCATTTGAAATGACATTAACAATGTAAAGGCTTATATGGGACTTGACTGATTGGGTTTAGATCAACTTCTGCTTTTGATTTCTCTGCTATCTAAGCTGATATTCTAAACCAGATCAGCAAAATATGCAGTTTTCTGAATAGTGTTAGATATCAGTCTAAGATATATATCAGATATCTAGTCTGCTGGGGAAGAGAAATAATACTGTCAGTCAGTATGACATGCAGATGAGTGCCGTCGATCTTAGAATCACCGCACACTTCACTCATTTGGGCAGTCACGGGGCCAAAACCAGAGTGTGGAGCCACAGTGTGGCGGTGGAGGCAGCAGCAATGGGAGGCCATACAGCACCCTATGACAAGATGGAACCCACCAGCAGTGTGAGGAGACCTGAAAGTGGCACATGGCACAGTGTGGCGATGGAGACAGCAGCAATGGGAGGCCGTACAGGGACCCATGAGACACTCTGGACCTGGCAGCAGCATGAGGAGGCGGTACGGGGGCCCATGGCAGATTACGGGCCTGGCAGCAGCAAATGGGGCCCATAATCTGCCAGCACCCTATGACAAAATGGAACCCACCAGCAGTGTGAGGAGACCTGAAAGTGGCACATGGCACAGTGTGGCGATGGAGACAGCAGCAATGGGAGGCCGTACAGGGACCCATGAGACACTCTGGACCTGGCAGCAGCATGATGAGGTGGTACGGGGGCCCATGGCAGATTACGGGCCTGGCAGCAGCATGAGGAGTCGGTACGGGGGCCCATGGCAGATTACGGGACTGGCAGCAGCAATGGGAGGCCCGTAATCTGCCAGCACCCTATGACAAAATGGAACCCACCAGCAGTGTGAGGAGACCTGAAAGTGGCACATGGCACAGTGTGGCGATGGAGACAGCAGCAATGGGAGGCCGTACAGGGACCCATGACAGATTACGGGCCTGGCAGCAGCATGAGGAGGCGGTACAGGGGCCCATGGCAGATTACGGGCCTGGCAGCAGCAATGGGAGGCCCGTAATCTGCCAGCACCCTATGACAAAATGGAACCCACCAGCAGTGTGAGGAGACCTGAAAGTGGTACATGGCACAGTGTTGCGATGGAGACAGCAGCAATGGGAGGCCGTACAGGGACCCATGAGACACTCTGGGACCTGGCAGCAGCAGCATGAGGAGGCGGTACGGGGGCATGGCAGATTACGGGCCTGGCAGTAGCATGAGGAGTCGGTACGGGGGCCCATGGCAGATTACGGGCCTGGCAGCAGCAATGGGAGGCCCGTAATCTGCCAGCACCCTATGACAAAATGGAACCCACCAGCAGTGTGAGGAGACCTGAAAGTGGTACATGGCACAGTGTGGTGATGGAGACAGCAGCAATGGGAGGCCGTACAGGGACCCATGAGACACTCTGGACCTGGCAGCAGCATGAGGAGGCGGTACGGGGGCCCATGGCAGATTACGGGCCTGGCAGCAGCAATGGGAGGCCCGTAATCTGCCAGCACCCTATGACAAAATGGAACCCACCAGCAGTGTGAGGAGACCTGAAAGTGGCACATGGCAGAGTGTGGCGATGGAGACAGCAGCAATGGGAGGCCGTACAGGGACCCATGAGACACTCTGGACCTGGCAGCAGCATGAGGAGGCGGTACGGGGGCCCATGGCAGATTACGGGCCTGGCAGCAGCAATGGGAGGCCCGTAATCTGCCAGCACCCTATGACAAAATGGAACCCACCAGCAGTGTGAGGAGACCTGAAAGTGGCACATGGCAGAGTGTGGCGATGGAGACAGCAGCAATGGGAGGCCGTACAGGGACCCATGAGACACTCTGGACCTGGCAGCAGCATGAGGAGGCGGTACGGGGGCCTGGCAGATTACGGGCCTGGCAGCAGCAATGGGAGGAGCCAGGACAAAATGGAACCCACCAGCAGTGTGAGGAGACCTGAAAGTGGCCATGGCATGTGTGGCGATGGAGACAGCAGCAATGGGAGGCCGCACAGGGACCCATGACAGATTACGGGCCTGGCAGCAGCATATAGGGGCCCATACGGGGCCTGGCAGCAGCAATGGGAGGCCCGTAATCTGCCAGCACCCTATGACAAAATGGAACCCACCAGCAGTGTGAGGAGACCTGAAAGTGGCACATGGCAGAGTGTGGCGATGGAGACAGCAGCAATGGGAGGCCGTACAGGGACCCATGACACACTCTGGACCTGGCAGCAGCATGAGGAGGTGGTACAGGGGCCCATGACGGATTACGGGCCTGGCAGCAGCATGAGGAGTCGGTACGGGGGCCCATGGCAGATAATGGGCCTGGCAGATGACGACGAGGCTGCCAAGTGCGATCAGCCTCATCATCATCAATTAGGGTCTCCGCCTCACTACTAGCCCCCTCGGCTGCGTGTGGGTCAGGAGACAGACCTGTCTCTAGACCGGCTACCGAGCCACTCTCCTCGCCAGTACTTCTTCGCCTGGCTGCTGAAGAGGCGGATGTCTCCCCCCGTTCCTGACCGCCCTCTGTTAGCTCTTCCTCACTGTACAGTGGGGCTGAGCCCACAGCATGCGATACTTCTTCGCTTGGTGAGGGAACACCAAAGGACAGGGGCAGGTAGAGGACACGTGATTTCAGTGGGCTTGCTCCCAGGCCATGCCAACTAACGGTTGTGTCTGACGTACCCACCGACCGTTGGCTGTAGGTGTCAGAGGTGACCTGGGAAGAGGAAGACGACCGAGCCAACCAATCGATGACGGCAGGGTTGTCGGTGGAGACACGACCGCTGGATGACACCGGGAGCACTGGCCTCTGGCTGCGACTAGTGCTGCCTCGACCCCTTCCTCTGCTGCCACGTCTGCTCGCTCCTGAAACATTGCCTCCTCTGCCACTCCTCTGCGTGTTGTCTGACATACTCTTTAATTCAACAATTCTGTGTCCCTGAGTAACGATTCTGTGTCCCTGAGTAACAATTCTGTGTCTGTCCCTGAGTAACAATTCTGTGTCCCTCAGTATCAATTCTGTGTCCCTCAGTAACAATTCTGTGTCTGTCCCTGAGTAACAATTCTGTGTCCCTCAGTAACAATTCTGTGTCCCTCAGTAACAATTCTGTGTCTGTCCCTGAGTAACAATTCTGTGTCCCTGAGTAACAGTTCTGTGTCCCTGAGTAACAATTCTGTGTCCCTGAGTAACAGTTCTGTGTCCCTGAGTAACAGTTCTGTGTCCCTGAGTAACAATTCTGTGTCCCTGAGTAACAATTCTGTGTCCCTCAGTAACAATTCTGTGTCCCTCAGTAACAATTCTGTGTTTGTCCCTGAGTAACAATTCTGTGTCCCTCAGTAACAATTCTGTGTCCCTCAGTAACAATTCTGTGTCTGTCCCTGAGTAACAATTCTGTGTCCCTGAGTAACAGTTCTGTGTCCCTGAGTAACAGTTCTGTGTCCCTGAGTAACAATTCTGTGTCCCTGAGTAACAATTCTGTGTCCCTCAGTAACAATTCTGTGTCCCTCAGTAACAATTCTGTGTCTGTCCCTGAGTAACAATTCTGTGTCCCTGAGTAACATTTCTGTGTCCCTGAGTAACAATTCTGTGTCCCTGAGTAACAGTTCTGTGTCCCTGAGTAACAATTCTGTGTCCCTCAGTAACAATTCTGTGTCCCTCAGTAACAATTCTGTGTCCCTCAGTAACAATTCTGTGTCTGTCCCTGAGTAACAATTCTGTGTCCCTCAGTAACAATTATGTGTCCCTCAGTAACAATTCTGTGTCCCTCAGTAACAATTCTGTGTCTGTCCCTGAGTAACAATTCTGTGTCCCTGAGTAACAGTTCTGTGTCCCTGAGTAACAATTATGTGTCCCTGAGTAACAGTTCTGTGTCCCTGAGTAACAATTCTGTGTCCCTGAGTAACAATTCTGTGTCCCTCAGTAACAATTCTGTGTCCCTCAGTAACAATTCTGTGTCCCTCAGTAACAATTCTGTGTCTGTCCCTGAGTAACAATTCTGTGTCCCTCAGTAACAATTCTGTGTCCCTCAGTAACAATTCTGTGTCTGTCCCAATTCTGTGTCCCTGAGTAACAATTCTGTGTCCCTGAGTAACAGTTCTGTGTCCCTGAGTAACAATTCTGTGTCCCTGAGTAACAGTTCTGTGTCCCTGAGTAACAATTCTGTGTCCCTCAGTAACAATTCTGTGTCCCTCAGTAACAATTCTGTGTCCCTCAGTAACAATTCTGTGTCTGTCCCTGAGTAACAATTCTGTGTCCCTCAGTAACAATTCTGTGTCCCTCAGTAACAATTCTGTGTCTGTCCCTGAGTAACAATTCTGTGTCCCTCAGTAACAATTCTGTGTCCCTCAGTAACAATTCTGTGCCTGTCCCTGAGTAACAATTCTGTGTCCCTGAGTAACAGTTCTGTGTCCCTGAGTAACAATTCTGTGTCCCTGAGTAACAATTCTGTGTCCCTCAGTAACAATTCTGTGTCCCTCAGTAAAAATTCTGTGTCTGTCCCTGAGTAACAATTCTGTGTCCCTCAGTAACAATTCTGTGTCCCTCAGTAACAATTCTGTGCCTGTCCCTGAGTAACAATTCTGTGTCCCTGAGTAACAGTTCTGTGTCCCTGAGTAACAATTCTGTGTCCCTGAGTAACAGTTCTGTGTCCCTGAATAACAATTCTGTGTCCCTAAGTAACGATTCTGTGGCCCTAAAGTCTCTTTGGCCCTAACTCTGTCCCTAATACAGAGAGTTCTGTCTCTCTTGAATGACCGGAGGCTAATGGAGAATTCTAAGATGGCCGCAATTTATAGCTCGATCATTACACAGTGCTGGCTGGCTGGCTGCTGATTGGCTAATGCGATCACATGTCATGAATGAATGCATTATGGGTCAGCGCGCCTTGTCTGCGCGTCTTCCCAGAGATCCCCGCTCCGTCGCCACACATGTCGCCGCCATTTTTGGAAAATTTCGATTCGCGCATCCGAAGTCTGCTATTTTTCGGATTCGGCGCGAATCGAATTTTTCCTAATCTTCGAAACGAATTCCACTTCGCCAAGTTCGATTCGCTCATCTCTAGTCATATACTTAAAAAACACAATAGTGCATAATTCAAAAATATGAAAAATATGTGTCTAGTATCTCAACATAATCAAGTGAATAACAAAATAAATGTCCATTCAAATAAATAGTCCATGCAGTGATTTCACTAAGGTAACTTTCTCTGCCGTGTGCCCAAAACCAGTGATGAGTACATTTTTTTAATGTTATTATGTTATTCGCTTTGTTGAGATACTAGACACATATTTTTAATATTTTTGAATTACGCACTATTGTGTTTTTTTAACTATATGAATATTGAGAATAGCGCACTTTGTTTGTTCGCCTGATTTGTTCTAATATCTGTGTAAAGGATCTTAAAGGTTCTACCGCACGTAGTCATGAATATTTGAATTTTGCTTTTGAGTTGTGGAACTTGAAGTAATATAGACTGCAAGGCTGATTTACTAAAGGATTGAGAACCTCACTCAATAAATTGAGTGAAGGTTCACTTAAATTACCTGACTATGTGTCATGAACCTGGTGGGGGAGCCTGAAGTGGAGATGAAAGCGTCCTCTTACACCTCCTGCTTGGTGTCCCTGATAGAGCAAACAGAAGGCACGAGAGCCAGGAGTGGCACAAGTCCCTGGCAGGTCTGCGATGTCAGCCGAAAGGTGGGTAGTCCGGATGACAAGGATGCAGGTCAGCAGGAGCAGCAGCTGGTAGATTCTAGTAGGAACTCTGCAATTGCAGACGGTTAGTAGCAAGTGGTAGTCCCAGGCTGGAGAGTCAGACAAGCCGGGTTGGGGTCTATCAGGTGGATCAGGCACAGGTAGCAGGCAAGCGGATATTTGAAATTCAGGCCAGGAGTCAGCAACCATTAGGCAGACAGCAAGGGAACAGGCAAAGGCGTAGTCCAAGGGTAAGCTAGGTCAGTGCAGGCAGAGTTGAAGCGACGTCAAGACAGGTCAGGTCAGCAACAGGATCAAGATACAACAGAGAGCAGATAACAGAACATGGTAGACCAGAAAGGAAGGACTCCTAGTGCCATTGAGGTTTAAATAGTCCACCTGGCGCCAGTCCTGTGGCAGGAGTGCATGCCGGCGTGCACATGTGTGTGCACACACATGTGCACTGACGTGAGCACGGCTATTGGGCAATTGGCTTTGGCGCATAAATTTGCACCTGGGCATTCTTTGTTTTCCCTGACACTATGTGAAAAGCAAAGGCCATAATATTTATTTTATCTGCATTTGATTGGGAATTCAAAGTGAATGCAGCTAGGATTTGTTATGTGTATATCCTCAACTCCTTTAGGGATCATAAATTCCTGCTCCAAGCTGCTCCTGCTTATCATCACTCAAACCCTGGGTGCTGGAAGTAGACCAAGCAGTCCTTGCTTACAGACAGTGCAGGAGAAGGAAGCCACCACACACCAGAGGGATTGGAAATATCCATTGTACAGGACACCCACAAACATAGAAATATCAGTCCCTACGCTAGGACCGTCTCTGTGCCACTGTTCTCTCAGCTGGTGGCTCTGACAAAAAATCCCTGCTTCTACCAAGATGGCCACAATCACACGAGACACAGTGGAAAACAAGGCATGGTAGGTCAGTAATGGGGAGAAATCAGCTACAGGGAGACCACAGTGAATACTGGTGACTAGTCTTTTGCCCTCTGTCTGCCTTTTTTGGCCACAGATTCTAGAGGTCAGTTATAGAAACCTGTCTTGAAAGAATGTGGAAGCTTCCATTGCTGAACTCTCCTTAAAATATGAGTTTCCCATCTTTGGGTTCAATGGTTTCGAAGATCAACATTGGAACTACTATGTGAATAAGGAGTTCTGGTATGTCTCTGATTTACTTCCCTGAGCTGCATTCTTATTCTATGGCAGTGATCGGTCTGTCAGTTAGCATCTTCATCAGGAGATCCTCAATGGTAGCACATGCATTTCTCTGATGACAGGTTTACTTTAAGATAAGTCCTGCATTGCAGATGCATTCATCTTGTAAACGCCATATCTGGACCATGGATCCTGCATTTGAAAATTTCCCATTCATCTAACAATCCCTGCTTATGAAAACTGAATAGTTAATGTATACTTTCGGCACCAAGAAATCACTCAACACTAGATCTGGTGACGTTGATGACTACCAGAGATTCCCTCACTTTGAAGGGTTTTCCTCCCACTTAAGTGAAGGGAAATCTCCACAATCAGATGGCAGAAGAAA